GCCACCGTCTTTAGGCAAATAACAAGGGTAAGCCTATGGAGTGGATTCAAGCAATAAAGGAATGTGCTGTGTAAATTGCAATGCGCAATATTTATAGGTAACGTCGTAATGGCACCTCAGTTTCTTTGGTTTGCGGTGGGCTGCTGGCCAGCTAAGATGGGACGTGGATCTGGCGTAGACCGCGTTATACGAACAGGACCGTACGTGCGACACTCGCCTGAGGTGAGAGAACGAATTTTGAGTGCCTATGAGCAAGGGGAGGATTGGATGAATGTTGCTGCATTGTTGAATGTGAAAATGACCATGTGCCGTTGTTGGCTGCGGATGTTATAATTGGTGGACGGATGAGGCAACACGGTGGAGCTCGCCGCAGATCCCTGATAGAAAGTCATGTCGATGCTCTGATCGAGTGGGTATCGGAAGAACCTACCGTTACCCTATCAACTCTCCGTTTGAAGCTGAAGGCTGAATTCGCTGTTGAAGTTGGCATCACTACAGTTTCCAGATATCCTGACGGTCGTCTTATCTCACTAAAGAAGTTGCCCACAGTCCCGGAATCCATGAACACTTTGGCGAACAAAAGGCGACGGAGGCTGTTTGTGTTGCGGCTGATACAGCTGCAGGCAGAAGGGAGACAGCCCGTTTGGATTGATGAGGCCAATTTCAATCTATTTTGTAGTCGCACCAGGGGTCGTTCACGGAGGGGAACTCGAGCACAGTGCACGGTGGCGAACAGCCGCGGTCAGAATGTGCACGTTGTGGGTGCAATGACGAGCGAGGGACTGATAGCCTTTTCCGTTTTAAGAGGCAGCTTCAACAAGCGGAGATGCACGCAGTGGGTTCGGGAACTTCTGGATTCCCAGGGAGCCGCTTTTATTGATCGGTGTGTTCTGATTTTTGACAACCCACCGTGCCACACAGATGTGCAGGAGGTTTTCAAGGAGGAAGGGTATCGAGCAGGAATGCTACTACGACTAGGCCGTAGTCTCTTTCGCTAGACCCTATCGAAGGCGTGTGGAGTGTTTTGAAGACGTACGTGAAGGACACCATGAGGAGGAGGTATGCGGAAATGCTTAGAGGGCATCCAGCGTGGCGCATACAATTTCTCGAGCAGGTGTTGCTTGCAGCCAGAGGTTGCGTTACGCGGCACCATTGCGAGCAGATGGTGAGACATGTTGCGAAGAATTACAGATGGGTGATTCATTTTGCCGATTTATAGATTGTAGCCGTTTAATTAAAACACTTGTGTACATAACGTTCCTCTTTTTCTCGATAAACGGGAGGGAATAAAGTGCGTTACATGCTCGGTAGCATGCGTAGAGTACTTTAGTAGCGGCAGACATTTTGTCACCGTTGTTACTGTTCTTGGTTGCTTGCAGTCCTAAATCACGTGATTGGTCATCCTGCCAATCTGGCGGAAGGAGGTTTCACTACCACGCGAGCGAGATGAGATCTAAGTGAGTGGTAACAGGAAGCGGATTGGTAGTTTTTGTTGAGGCTGCAATCCTTGCAGGCTGTTGGAAGCGAAGCTTTGAAGGCCTACACGAACAAGATGACATCTAATTGGGTAGTGATAATAGGCGAATTGGTTGATTGTGTTGAGGCTGCAACCCTTGCGGGCTGTTGGAACTGGAGCTTTGAAGACTTACGGGTTGACTGCACGGTTGCCTTCCTTGATCGCTTGCCTATCTGGCCACACGTGATACGGTATGCATTGTGTAATCGTGCCACTGCGAGCAATCTGGAGAATCGATAGGTGTGAGATTTTGCTTAGGATATGCGTGTGATTGTTAAGGCAGTGTGAGGTAATCAGAAACAGTGCAGTAATTCGTATGAAGGAGGTAAAGCTAGAACTTGTTCGCAAATAGAAATTTTAAAGCATTTACAGCTACAAGGTTCCTGTGCTGTGTTGTTTCAGTTGGCCGTACACTCATGTGAATATTGCAGCTACGTACTCCTGATGTAGTCGGCGCATTGTATACTAAGGTCAAGTTCGCTGGGTAGGTAAGACCATCAGTGGATCTGTAGCCATTGTTCCAAAGAGGAGGGTTCCTAGTGTGGCGGTGACACGACATTAGTGAGTGTTCGTTCGTCTCCACACCTGTGGGCCACTTCGGTAATCAGTTACCGCTACAGAACCCATGGACCTGTCGTTATGTTATGGTCGTAAGATGCATGTCAGTCCTGCGTTTCAACATGATATTTACAATTCACTTCCAATTGACCCTACGGCCCTGATGTCATCTGCCAACGAGCATTGCATACGCATAGTAAGCATGTTTGGAGCAATTTTGCACCTTCAACAACGCCTCCGGAATTATCTACTTTCCAATGACAAAATATTGCCGAGTAGTTGCCAAGCCGATAACAACCTCCGTCACGGCGTGCACACATGAATGTTTTTAAGACTAGCTGGAACGGAGGTCCATAGCAGGATTAGTGGGCGCGGTTGCCTTTGTAAATGATTGCAAACACATTGTAGGAACGCCCGTGGGTGAGACAACTGTGTTTGTCTGTTCCAAGTACTCACCTGTATTACCAGAGTAAAATGCATGCGTCGCCACTAATTATCACTATTGCGTTTTTTCTAGCACGACGATGTGGCACGTATAAATACCGTAGTCATTGTAGCCCCTTTAAGTGTTTCTTTGTTGAGTAATGCAGATTTCATGAGGATAGCATTCCAGTCCATGGACGTAATAGGAAGGTTCCATCTGCATTGACTGTGCTTCTAATGGTGCCATTCGGAGAGCCACTTGTCAAAGCGTCTCAACACGTATGGGCGACCATTTGGAAGTGAAGCCTAATTATCCTATAAATACATAGGTTCTTATGACCTTTACATAACGCCATACATGGAAACACTGAAGCGATAACTGATTAACAAAGTCGCCCATGGGTGTGGAGATAAACGCACACTCACTAACGTCGAGTAACGCCACACCTGGAATCCTCTTAGTTGGTGTTTAGTCATCAACTGTGATAGAAGTAAGCAAACATAGGACTTTCGTTGTTCAGCTTCAGGTTGGTCTACCAACTTCAATGGGAACAATGTCTCCCATGATCGTCACAATAACAATCGCATAAAATTGTATAACCGCCTAGCAGCCATTGCTGAACTGCTTAATACCAGTTAGATGAGCGCCTGGCTACGCCACCATGGTTATGCCGCTGAATGCGGCACCACCAGGTAGCCGCTAGCGATCACTAAGTATAGACCGCTTCATGTGCTGCTTAGCATGTCTATCCGCATTGGTTACGGCTTGAGCTTCTGATCATGTGGTTGCTGGGATCTTTTCCTTGCACAGGCATCACAATTTGCCCATTGGACGGTTTCAGTTTGGAGACCAATCATAGAGATTTCCTTCAGCTAGACATTAAAACAGAACAGGTGTTGCTCGACCACTTTCATTGGACTGTCTGTCGCTTATGCTGGGGGCTTCCAACCGGTATCCCCTTGGCTAACGTCCCATGACCAATGAGAGTGTCAACGGCGCCAAAACAGTTCGTAGCCTCGCTAACTTGAAAGCACTGCACGCGGTTTCGAAAATGTGCCGTGCTAATATCTTTGTACAATGCGCGTAAAGTAGTATAGACTCAGCCATACCACTAAGTATATGCCACATATTCTTTGTAATTACTCCTTACTGACATTCGGTGGCAAACGTGATTAGACGCTCCCGTGGCGTTGCATTCCACAAAGTCGCAGACTGTCAAGCTTCAGAAGATAGGCGCTTAGCTCGAACGTGGTCTCGGGTGGAGCCACTGGGCTTGTTGGTATGGATAAGAGCTGATCTCAGTTGCGTTTGTGTTGGGAGTTTCTCTGTCCCTCCCCCTACAACGACGTTCTCATTTCCTAAGCATAATGTAACCTTTTTGCAGTCCCATAACCGGCTATTTTCTCTCCGGAACAACGTCCGTCCGTTGCTGGTTGCGCAGATGGCGTGCCTCTGTTGCATGGTTTTTCTTCTTATGTATTGCGGCACCTCTAGCTAATGTGTATATTGAACGAATGATTGACCATGGATGTGGCTGACTGACTGACTGGGAGGAAATGTATTTCTCTCTTTACTCCCTATGCTCATGCCCTCCATAGCCGGTGCTTGATGGTATATATATTTGTCGATTGATCGCTTGCAGATACAGACTGCGTCTACTCTCACCTAAGCGCTTTTCCAAATACCCACTACTGCGTGTGCCCCGGCCGTGTCCTGCTTTTGTTCTTCACTGAACACCCCCTGGTGTATAGACCGCTTTGCACCTGACCTTGCTGTATTTAGTTGGATACAGTAGCGCAAATCTTCCGTTTGTTTGTATGCTCAATGGACATTAGCTACCTGAGTGTCGGTCAGTGAGCCTGCCACATTATAACATGCTCTGACACGGAAGCATGTGGACCATTAGGACTCAAGCGCAGCTGTTGTTGGCAACTTTTCACACACTCCTCTAACAGAGTGGCTACATTAGCCACAGGGACTCATACGTCACTTAGGCCAGTAGCCTTAAGGATCACATGCCTGCCGTATAATCCGATGGCGCGGGTTCGAGCCTGCGTATTGACCGAGCAATCCTTACAGTATCCTTGGCTTATACAACGTACTGCGGTAAATAATTCACCACGACACTTACATGCAGTCGGTCGTTCTACATCATCCGTACTTAGGCCAGACTGCTATCTAATCTGCGGCTTGAGTATTTTCGCGTGAATTTCCTCTTTCTTACCCTATTTTGGTTTCCTTCGTAGTTGCACATGCAGCGGTAACCGTCATAATTATGCTCTAAGTATTGGTTTATTTTGGATAAACTAAACTGAAGGCATTTGAGCTCATGTTTTAGGCGAACCTGGATCCTCTGGTTAAACAACTCAACTGGCTTTTACCATAAACACATTTGCATCTTCGCATCTTTTGCACTTTTACCTTATCTTGAGCACGCAACCACGGTTTTTCCTCAACTCTTCCGAATAGCGCTGTAGAGGTGCTTTGTTTTGCGTTTTTTAGAAGTTTGAAAAAGTTTTGGTTGCCAACCGGGGAGAAATTGCCTGCCGTGTTATCCAGTCGTGTAAGCGAATGGGTATCAAAACTGTCGCCATATATAGCGAGGCCGATTCTAACTCGCGCTTTGTTGGAATGGCAGACGAAGCAGTTTGCGTCGGTCCCGCTGCAAGCTCCCAGTCCTATCTTAACATACCTGCTATTCTGGACGCAGTCAAATCCACCGGAACACAAGCGGTGCATCCGGGCTATGGATTCCTTTCCGAGAACACACTTTTCGCCGCTGCACTTGAAGATATCGGCGTCGTGTTTATTGGACCGAATTCAAAGGCCATCCGATCTATGGGGGACAAAATAGAGAGTAAACGCATTGCCGCCATCGCCAAAGTCAACGGAATTCCAGGTTTTGACGGTGAGGTCGCAGGCCCTGATGAAGCTGCAAAAATTGCTAACGAGATCGGTATGTACTTCTCACAGTTATGTTTACGGTTAAAAAATTGCAACACAGGTGAAGATTTATGTTCCTCATTTCTATTAGACTGTTTCCATAGAGAGTCACATCGAAGTGTACAGTTATGCTGTTCTTTTTTGACGCAACATGTAAGGCTGGACAACTTTTTAATGAATAGGGTTTATATTTGTCTGGCTTTTTCACCATACCCCGTTAGGCGGAATTTCTAGCATTTTGGTTGGGGTTGGTGGGTGCTGTGTAACAAATTATAATGGTTTATTCGAGTGATGTTATCTGGTGGACGTTCTTCGGTTCAAGGTAGCGGCTACATTTTCGACATTCACGTTATGCGGCACTTTGCATTTCCTCAGATAATATCCTGTTATATCGAAGCTCAAGGAAGATCGAAGAGGAAAAATTTTAATGTTTTCGTTTATGATGTAGTGATTATGAAACGCCTGAGTGTTTTCAAAGATTTGCAAAATTTCCTTGATTGGTCATAAGTCTGCGTAAGCGAACATCTGTTTTTAATGATTCCTCATCAGCGTGTACAATTAAATGAAAATCAAAATTTTTAGCTACCCAGCCACTTGATTCTAATATGCGATAACAAACATTGTCAGTCATTTCCCCGCTGTACTCACACGCGATCCGTCCAGGCCATGGTAGACTCAACGCCTAAGTGCGTGCACAGCCCTCGATCGTACAGCCGAATTGCGATGGCTTGTGCGGAGTCTAACATCTGCTTACAAAAATAATTTGATCGGTTTTCTCTGGCTTGATCGATTGCTTTGAGCGAATAAGCCCAATTGGTGGCGTGACTCGTATCCGCAAGATGCGCAACGACGGCAACGTTGGTGAACTTCTGACCTACATTTTTAAAGCACATGATAGTAGATGGAAACATGCGTATTGAACCGAATGTTCGATTCCAACAGAAACAAATCAATAAATCGTCAGGTCATTGAAGGTGGCAAATAATGTACAGTGGCAATCCTAGAAGTTGTGGGCCACGGTAGAAGTAAAGGACGTACAAACTTTTTGTACGCACAATTCTGGCTTCAGGTGACCGAGGTAGATAGCTTCCGCAAAGGATAGGAGATACTTCCGGAATCCACGCGAGAAACGTTCAGCGATAGTATAGATAGATGACTTTGAAATTGTTTTCCGTCCCTGCCTGACCGCACTCTAGAAGGTGTGAAGTGATGGAGCTGTTACTATACCTCGCTTCGCCTTTGTTAAACCACTTCGGGATGTGTTCGCGAATCCTATGAGATGGGCGCCTCGTGGTACGACCCACGTATCATGCACCACAGGAGCACGAGTACAGATAAACAAGCGTTGATCGAGTCACCAGAGACATCTTTTCATAGCTTTTGCGAATAAAGGCTCGTAACATACTATGCATAGGCGAGCCGCGAAATAAGTCGTCAAAGGCGTCTTGCGTCACCGCAACATAATCAGCAATATTTAACCAGCATCAAAGCCTCGCTGCAAAACATCCCTCGAACTTTCCCCATGCAGGCGACTGTGTTACAATCCCAAGGCGGAACAGGACACGTTTGAAGATACGAACCATAAGGTAGTTCCCAAACGGCGACTGTCCTCAACATCTCCACGGCATTGCTAATAAATAAACCCTGATATATTGAAAATACAATGTATGCTCCGCGATTTACTTTCTTTTGGTACTGCTGTGTCGCCAGAGAACGCCTTCGCCCCACCACCGCAAGTATGACTCCAAAGACGGGGAAGAATCGTATGCATTGAATCAAGCCTGTTTAAATAGTCTTGAGGTTGGGCGGTTGGACGGTTTAGCCAACCGTATTGCTGAAAACATGCAAGCAGAATGAAGCCAATAAAAACGGATCAATAAAGGAGTCAAATAGCTACGTGCAACGAAAAAAAGAGAGTTAGCAGCCAAGTGGAACTGCGATCCTTGGGCAAAAAGAATGAGCACAAGCAGCCAACGAAATTAGCGGAATGATGTGTTTAAACAAATGTTAGTAACAGCGATAGCGAAGGAGTCAAATCGGCAACTATGAATCTTTCCTTTAAGTGTTCCCGTAACAGATCCCAGACCTCTTCCTTGGTCACGCAAGTGCACATGCCTAAGTAAACCAATTCTGTTCGGCGTCAGAGACAAAGAATCATTAGACCAACGTTGCAACAAGATATGGAACGTGACGTTATGTCCGCAGCTCTGCGTCACTCGATATGTCAACAGAAGTTGTTTATCCAAAAGTAGCCTCAATACCAAACTATCAAATCGGCCCGTCGACCCCATTCTTCCCCCTACTATAGATCAACATGCATCTAGTCACAGGCCATCTACCCAGTCGACTGGGGAACGGTAATCCACCACCTGATATAACCCCAATCCCACCAGACCACCTGAGTGTAAGCTAATACTTTTTCAATGAAATAAAGCAGCTGCCCCAGCTATTTCGGTGTGGGTGTACGTGCAGTGTGAGGAGAAAAGTAAAAGCGCGGACGGTCTAACATCTCATTTGAAAGCGATTTGCAAAGCTATAAACAAACTATGTCAAATGCCTTATCCAGCCTTAACGTGGTGAATACGTCATTCCTCCAGGGAGCTGTTCCGTCTATCGAGATCAGATTTGACTTGTTTGCTTCGTATGAGGGCAAACAGTTTGCAGAGGACTATTTTCCGCCACCCGTACTGCTAGCTATACCTGAGGAACCGGCACTAAATTTATATTTATTCGACTGAAATAAAACAGGTTGATCACATTGTAGACATTCCGCTGTACTGTATATCGTTCAGTTCTTTGCGTTATTGACAATTTCTCTCTGGGTTTGAACGGTAGCTTGAACTGTGAGGGTCCGGTAAAATGTCCTGAGGTGGCATCACGGTGATGTAACCGAACTGTCCTTTGCAAAGAACACTTTGGAATACCAAAATAACATTGTTCACTCTGTTTCTCCTTGCCTCACCTGTCCTCTCGCCACAAACAGACATCTCGTCTGCTCACTCTAGCCATCTTTGTGAGACCTTTCGGACTGAACCTGCAACGGGCTTGATCACGCCACCCACTCACTTCAGGTTTGACCCTGTTTTCCGAACATGTCCACTGCCACGTCTCTGTTCGTCTTTACCTGGGAACTGTGTTTACTTTGCCGTGCATCTACGTCCCAGGCTTTGTGGTCTGTAACAGTTCGTGAACCGACACTGCGCAATTGAACGATCGGATGTCCTAAGTCTGCGTAGCGAGGCCCCAACCACCATCTAGATGAGTTTTACCACGCGGGTGCTGCCTAACTTGCTTGGGCCTCATCATCATCATCAATACACGTTAGCTGAGGGTGAGAAACACACCTCAGCTAGTGTGCGCAATACCAAAAGATAAGCTACTAAAAAATTACCCTGCAGAAATCGATTTCGAGCAATTAATATGAGGTTACAAATTATATTACGCGTTTTGTATGAGATCGGGATTGGAAGGAGAAGCTAAATGGGAGGGGATGGACAAAGAAACTCACAACACAAACGCCATTGGGGCCGGCTCCTAGCCATATCAGCAAGTGTGTCCAACCAAACGTGTTCATCGTCCTTAGGACACCAACCGGGCTATCGGGATGCACCAACCGACGCCAACTTCGAAGTGAGAGTTTTCATTTCTCTCGACTAATTCATCGCTTGGCCTCCCCTCCTCCTCTTCCAACCGCACCCCCGGCGCGCAAACAATGGACGTCGCGGAAGTCCGTGTGATGACGTGCGCAACACGTGGCCAAGCCATCGGAGCCTGGTGCTTGATAAACTGGTGCTGCGTGGTTCACTCGCTCTTCCTGCACGAAATACGCGACGTTGAACACGCTCATTGCTCACGCGGTGCTCCCACCAGACATGAGCTAAGCTGCGAAGGCAGCGATGAGTCTCTTTATGTCTGTCGACTTGATGAGCCAAGTTTCACAACCGTATAGGAGGGCTGAGCGGACGGCTGCCTTTCAGCGCGAGAGTGAATTCGCGTCTGTGTCACAGGTGGCGAAGATTGGCAAAAGCACCTCGAGCTTTTGCTATGGGGTTCGTAACGTCATCTTCGATCCTACGGGTGCTTATATAGCTGCCCATGTAGTTAAATTTCTGAACGACTTCTCGCTAATCACTAGCAAGGGTCAGCTCAGGGGTGGGTCCCTGCCAGTCTTGTAGCAAAGCATAGCACAAAACGATTGACAGCCAGTGCTAATCGCTTCAGTACAACCTGGCAGGTTTGGGCGCTATCACAATTTTGGCCGCATACTCCAAGTTCAAAAGCCCTTCACCATGAAGTAGCTCCACACCTAGGTCGTGTCCAGCGAACACTGTTTCCATGACTTCATCAGTAGCGAAGTTAAAGAGAAAAGCTGACAGCGGGCAACCTTGTCTCACACCGCTGGGGATATTGAAGGGTGGCGACAGTTTGCCTTAAACCCTCACTCTGCCCGAACTATGCGCGTACAGCGCTTTGATAATGTTTATTTATTTATCAAGCACACCTTTTCTCAACAGACAGTCCCAAAGGGCACATCGATCCAACGAAACGAAGGCATCTTTGATTGCGCGAGACAAGACAACGTTGGATCGACGATAAACCGTGCTCCAACAATTGACACAAAGTGAAGATGTGGTTGATGCAGCCTTTATTTCAACGAAATCCGGCTTGCTCTTCGCGGATCTGGCCTTCACGAGCGCCAGTCAATCTGTGGAGAACGACAGAGGCAAGTAATTTAGAGGCAATTAAGACCAGGCTGATCCATTTATGGTTGCTGCACTCCGAACGGGAGCCTCCTTTGAAAATTGGGACTATGATGGAGCGACTCCAGTCTGTCGTGACTGTTTCCTGCTCCCATAGTTTCATTAGCAACTCGTGCAAATCATCCACAAGAGCAGGTTCCCCGGATTTGTAGAGAGTTGAGGGAATTCTATCTGCCCCTGCGTCCTTATTCAATTTCGACAGTCTGATCTCACCTTCGACTTCTGCACGTGAGGGCGGATCATAAGAGTCGGC